CCGAATAATCTGAGCTTAGTCTTATTGTTTCTCCTCTGTATGTGACTTCTTGTTTTTCACGAGCTGCTTTCAGGATTCTTTGTCTTTGGTTTTGGCAAGTGTGATTATGATATGCCTTGGTGATTTTCTTTTGGGTTCTATCCTATATGGGATGCATTGAGCTTCTTGGATGGCCAGCTGTTCATCTTTCATGATATTGGGGAAGTTTTCTGTCAGCAATTTGTCAATGATCCTCTCTGTATTTTCTGTTTTGTTCCCCTGTTCTGGAACTCCGATCACTCGCAAATTTTTGCTTTTAATTGTATCGCACATAATTCTCAGGGTCTCTTCATTTTTCTTTGCTCTTTTTCCTGAGTTTTCCTCAAACAGAGTTGTATCTAAGTGTCTTCAATTCCACTGATCCTGTCTTCCACGGCCTCAAATCTGCTCTTCAGCCCTTCTATGACGCTGTGCATCTCTGAAATCTTGTTTATCTTTTGGATTTCTAATTGTTGTTTTTGTATAATTTCTAGTTGTGAATTTATTTTGACATTTTGTTCCTGCATTGTTTTGCTGAATTCTTCCATTTTTTTGTCTGTATTTTCCATGAATTTGTCTGCCTTTTCCATGAATTTGTCTATTTTTTCCTCATTTTTGTCTGCTTTTTGCTTCAACTCTTCGATAATTCTGAGTATTAGAGATTTGAATTCCCTATCAGATAGTTCTAGTACCTTTTCTTCTACTGGAAAGTCATCTGGTGTTTTATTTTGGACGCCTACTAGAACCATCCTGTCCTGCTTTCGTAAATGTTTTGATATTGTCTGCTGTCTTCGGGGCATTCAGTAGTTATTTTTCTCGTTAATTGATTGTAGATTTGTTTGTTTCATCTATGTCTGAGCAGGCGGACTGTGTGTTGTTTGTTGTTTGCTCGTCTGTGGGCACGATACCTTTCGCCTCCTTCTCCGATTGGCAGGGTCAGCCACTCAGATATGGTAGAGCAGGGCAGGTCTAGCTGAAGAGGAGTTGCTTGGATGGGTTGTTTGTGGGACTTACTACAGACACCAGGGCGGGCCGGTAATCAGGGCGGGGCAGGTTCCGGTAGGCCATGCCTGTACTGCTTGGTGGTATGATGTTAAGTGCACGGTGCAGGTAGGCAGGATAGAGGGGGAGACAGTGATGCATGGAGCTAAGATGGGTATGGGAGAGAGGAGACAGGAACAGGAGCCAAAAACATAGAAACAAACAAAAAAGAGTGCTAGGGGAGCTTGCCATTGGAATGGAGAGATGAGAGACTATGAAATGCAGAAAAACAAAAAGGGGAAGAAGAAGAAAAAAAAGAGAAGAATGAATGAATAAAAATTAGAAAAAAGAAAAGCTCCCAGGGATCCCAGCAGTGTGGCTACGAGGTCTGGGGAAGTTGTTCCCAGGTGTTGAAGTACAGCCTGGCTAGAAGGCATA